GGGAAATATAATAAAAAAAAATATGAAGACAAACACACACAAAAAAAAAAAAAAAAAAAAAAAAAAGTAAGGGGACGAAGTGTCGCGCGTCCGTCTGGCCCATGACGTCGCGCACACCCAGCCTGCGCATGGCTGCGCCTCGACGTCAATACCCCACATGCGCCGCTCACCTAGTCGAGGACCTAAGCTTCCTCTCGTGCGCGCTTCGTCAAATGGACGAGGCTGCTCTGGCATGACCTGCAGACAACACGCCAAATACCCTTGTAAGGGTATTTGGTACGACAACGAGTCCCGTGCCCATCTTTGTGATATCACATGATTGATTGGCAACACCCATCGTGAGGCTCTGTAAGCCCCTTTCACCGTGTATTCCCACATGCACATGGGCTTTGTGCCAAGCCGTTCCCAGTCGGTTGGATCAAACGGCAGCCTGGCAATTGGGATTGTGTGCTCGTACACTAAGAAGCCATTGTCTGTGTCTCTCACCACTAATGAGCATTAGCCCTTCCCACATTTCAGTCACATCTAGGTCTTTTTCCTTGTCAATTTGGAGAACCTGGCCCCCGACCCCTGAAGTTCTTGGGCTTGTAGAGTGCACCTCCCTTCATCATTATGCGCGGGAGGGGCAAATCTGCATATCTTATTACCAGTCATCCGACAGAACTGTGGGACCCTTTGCGAGGGCCAGCCTCCAGGCCAAGTGAAGAGCTTCCTTCAGTTGGAGCATTTTATGTTCCATGTTCTTGGCGCGTTTCAATTTTCGTTGCAGCTGGTTCGTCATGGCCCAGTCGGCCCTTGACAGGTCCCACAAGTCCTCCATCGTGAAAACCCCTTTCTTGGCCCACGTGAGCCATGGTGAGTTTGTTGTTTGCTTGAAGGGAGCGCCCACCTGGTCGAGGATTTAAGGGTTTCCAAAGAGAGGCTGGCACCACACATCCTGCCACCTGTTGGGGGTTGTTTCTGCTGTGGTCCGCACCACCTCCAGAGCTTGATTGTATTGGGCCACAAAGGGTCGTTGTTGATGTCATTTGTAGTCACTTGGGTCAGGGCGTCCACCTGTCTATGGTGTGGGGGGGAGGGGATTTTCCAGTGTTTATTCATTAACCATCGAAAGGGGTGCACTCGACTGCTTGCTGTGGACACCAGGGCCAGGTTGGCAATTTGCGGGCAAGCCAAGGGGCCCCATGAAATGTCATTGCCTACCACAGTCTGATCAGGACTTTAAACCGGCACTACCTTTCTCAGCCAAAAAATTGCAACCTCCGGCATGCTTAGAGGTTCCCACACAGGCTCGGTACAGGTTCGGGGCCTGCTCAAGACATGGAAAAGTAAAAAAATAAAATGGCCGAGTAGCCTACTCACAACATGGAAACAAAAAAAAAGAAACGGTCGTGTATCTTCCGACGCGATAGGGAATCGCTCCACCACGACATGCACAAAAGACAAAACTTATTGCGGTGTATGTTTCCATGTTCTAGCGGAAGATTCATTCTCATTGTGCTCATTTGGTGAGTTGCGCGTCGATGCCCCGTTTGTCGGTACAACGGGGTTTTTATTCTCATTCACAACCTGTTTCCAAAACCCCATTGTACTGACAAATAGGGCAACGGTCCACTTCTCACCAAATGAGCAAAATGAGAATGGATCTTCCACTAGAACGTGGGAAGGTTCACCGTCATATCTTTTTGTCTTCTGTGCATGTCACGAGTAGTGGAGCGGGGCCAAACTCCATTACTCATGACACTGACAAAAAATAAAAAACACGGTGGTGTATCTTCCCGCGTTCTAGCGGAAGAGTCATTCTCATTGAGCTCGTTTTTAGTGAGCAGTGGACCAACGCCCTTAGGTTGTTCGTGGAAAGCGGCGAAAGGTAAGGGCTGCTACAATAAACGTGCCAAACCTCGCCCTCATCTTGTTTTTTTTTTTTTCCTTTTTTTTTTCCGAAAGGCAACCTAGAGCTCTATTTCATATTTCGTCGGCTTGCCCTCCTCCAACATTGGGGACTAGCCGCGGACTGGTTCGGCAGGGGCAGCACAAGGGTACTGGCGATTTAGAGATCAAGGCCTCGCTTTCCCATTCCGGGCCTAATATCGCTAGTCCCCCATTGGCTCTTGGTTGTGTGAGGACGTCCCAACTCACTCGGTTCACGCAGCCATGAGCGCTTGCGCTGTTCTTCCACAAATATTTTGTGAGCGCCTTTCTCAGCCTGGTGCTTTGCTGCTTCTTTAGTGGCCAGACTGCTAGTTTGTACCAAATGGTTGCAAGGATAGCGTTGTTAATTGCTAGGACACGGCCTGCCAACGAGGTATGTAACCCCTCTCATTTTGTCAGTCTGTCAATGGTTGTATCCACTAACATGTCGCCATGGTCTGGCGACGGGCCAATTCCCGTGAGTCTCACCCCCACGGTCCTTATAGCTCTTCCCTCTGGGCCCATGCGACCCTCAGTTCGGGAGGGGGCTGCGCTTGCGGATGGAACCATCACCCTTCCGTTTTAGAGCCCCAATTCACTTTCATGTCCGTTGCCAACGAGAGCAGGTGTATCACCTGGGTGAGGGCTCTGAGACTGTCCGAGTCTGCACTTATGAGGCCCGTTAGGTCATCTGCGAACAACGATGTCATTGGGACCAGATGTTGAGGGAGTTTCAGGATAGGCACTGTGGCGATGTCGGGGTGAAGTCTAATTAGCGAGGCCAAGGCTTCCATTACAATCACAAATAGCAAGGGTGCGATGGGTCCCCATGCCACACGGATCTTTGTAGTTGTATTGGAGGTGAGAGATGGCCATTGAGCATGATGTTTGTGGAGGCCGATCGGTGGAGTATCCGGATCTAGTGGCTAAAAGCCGATCAAAAATTCATCTTGGTCAGGCACATGTCGAGGAATTCCCAATCCACGTGATCGTAAGCTTTCTTAAAATCTATGAACAAGACAGCCGCCCGGACATTGCACTAGCGGACAAATTTAATGGTCTCATTAACCAGCAAGATATTATCTTGGATATTGTGGCCGGGCATAAACCCAGTTTGGTCCGGGTGTATTAGCACATTCATGAATGGGAGCAAGCGATTGGTTAGCGCCTTGGCGACCATTTTATAGGGGATAGGCAAGAGGGTAATGGGTCTGTAGTTTCTTATGTCCTCTTTGTCCTCTTTCTTGTAAAGGAGTGTGCTGACTCCTTGGCCGATGATGCCTCCAAACGAGCCCTCCTCTTGTAAAGGAGTGTGCTGACTTCTTGGCCGATGACAAACCATGAGGTCATCCTTAATAACTTCCCAAAATTGCACCCAGAACTCTTCGGGGAAAGAGTCAGTCCCTTGTGTCTTCTCTTCGTCCATGTTTTGCAGGGCTTCCCATACCTCTTGTGGGGTAAGCTCCTTTTCTAACTGTTGTCTCTGTTCTTGTGAGAGCCGCTCTTTTAGAGCTTGTAGCAGTCTTTCTCTTGCATGCAAGACCTCTTGAGGGTGCTTCGTTGGTGTCTGGGATGTAAAGAGATTATCGTAATATTTGGCAGTGCAGTCAACTATGGAATATGCGTTGGTGGCCACCGGAGCATTGTCCTCTAGCGCGTGCTTGAGCCTGGTAACTGTATTGGCCCTTGTTATGACCTTTGCCTTATTAAAGAAGGTCTTTGTCATGTATTGGCCCTTGTTCTGGCCTTTGCCTTATTAAGGAAGGTCTTTGTCATTGTCCCATATGTATGTTACTTCTAACTTTAGCCTGTATCCTCCATGCCTCCGACTGGTACCGTATGTAGTCCTGGAGGTGATCTCTGGCCTCCTGCAGTTTATTGAAGGAGGGGCGGTGTAGGGGGTCTTCCATAAGTTGTTCATCCCAATCTTCCAGTTCCCGCATGAGCAGGGCTTTGCGGTCTCTTGCATATTGGATTGATAATTTTTTGGATTTGTCTCTTAATTGTGCTACGCCGTCGTTAAACCCAGCCACCCTCTCCCCCGATTGGGGTCTCTGTGTTTGCCAGTACAACCAAAAGGTGGTGACCATGTCTTTGAAGTTAGACAAAGGGAGGAGGGAGGTGTTAAGCTTATAGAAACAAGGTTTTCTTTGGATATGAGTGTGTAATGGGAGGACCAATATTATCATCCTCTGGTCAAAAGATTTGCGGGGGCTGATGGTGCCTGTTTTTGCAATGGTAATCAGCCCTATTAAATCTTTTGACACAAGGGTGAGGTGTATACGCGAGTTGGCCAAACCATGCTCTTCGCTGGATGTATAGGCTTTTTGGCTCGGAAGCAACAATCTATAGGCATCCTCTAGATTCCTCTCCTCCATTAGTTGTCTAAGCATGAGTATATCGGGTCCCATGTTTGGCTGAGAGGGGGACACCTAGTTAGGCTGATGTCCAGCAGATCCGCGATCTATTGATGGGTCAAGAGTCATGTTGAAATCACATGCCATTATGACGGGGGCATCGTCTGGTAGATGCTGGAGCAGGGAGAGCCAAAGGTCAATTCTACCTGTCGGGTCGTTGGGTGCATATACACAAACCAAGTAAAATTCCTCCTCTTCATAGGCCACCTTAAGGCAAACCCGCCTTCCTCATTGCCTGTCGTGATCAACAATCAGCGGTTTGAGTTTGGAGGAGGGAGGGAGTCGAATTGCCACACCCGCCGATGCCCTCTCCTTTGCTGGCTCGACGTAGCTTACGTATGGCCAGATGAACTTTGCTTTTGCTGTGTATGCCGGGGGGTTCTGCAGGTGTGTCTCTTGAACACACACTGCGTTGGGCCAACCCCCATTGGTCGGGTTCTTTAACATACTATACATGGTGGGTTTTTTTTCCGCTTTTGCTTGGATCAGTCCATTGACATCGAGCAAGCGGATGTCAATGTCGGTCCTGGCTAGCTCCACTGCCCATTGGGGAGGCCTCCTAATTGGGGGAAAGACCGGGAGGGATGGTGGACGTTGAGGGGGGGTCAGCGGGTCATGGCGGCCGTGGAGCTTGTGATAAGGGGAACGACTAAGGCTGTGGTGTTGAGGTGGGGTTAGGATGGTGGGGGTCAGGAGTTTGACCAGTATACGAGGCCAATGGCTGTTGTCCTCCCATAGTTTGGTTCATTTGGGTCAATGGATGTTTGTGTCTTATCGGTATTGTTGACGTGTCCTCTTTTCATACTCAGTCCAAACTCTTGCCTGGGAGGACAAATGGAGCTTCATCCCATTGATTATGCTCTTCTAAGATATTGTATTCCAGGAAAACTGCATGAGAACAACCATCATGCTCGCAGTCTAGGCGCAATTGGTCGTAAAACACGTTGTATTTAGGTTTATGAGCTGCTGGTGGTTGAACCACTTAAGACCGGTGTCAGTTTTGGATCCTCTCGCCTTCGAGTCAATCAAGAGGATGACCAGGGTGATGCACTTGGGGAATGTGTGTCTTTGGCAGCACCACCCCCTGCTCATTGTGTGTGTTAGATTCTCTAATCCAGTACCTAAGACGTTTGAGAATGACGCCTGTGGACGGGCTGCCCCTCCACTCGCCCAGCCTATATGCCCCCGGGGTTGCGTTAAGTCTGCGCTGGCTGGATTGTTCAATGTGGCCAGGCGGTGGGCCGAGGCCGAGCAGCCATTCTCTGCCCTCTTGCTCCCGGGCCAAGGGAAATATGACCACTCCAGGTGGCATGGCCACTGGGGTGCTCTCATCCTCCTGAAGTCTCACCAGTTCTCTGAACTTTTTTGGGGGGGATGTCTTATGGAAGTTCCTCTTCTTCTTCCCCCGGCTGTTGTTATGTGTTGTCTTCATCGTCATCATGTACGATTGTAATTTCACGGTCCCGATGGCGGTGGGGGCCGTGCAACACGATTGCCCGGGTTTGGTTGTTACCTTTCCAGATAGGGGGTTGCTGTTGCCCGCTTTCCAATTACAGGGGCTCCACCACTGGGGGCACCCCCCTTTCTTGTCTCCTGGGCTGAGGCTGCAGGTTGTGTGTTTCGGGGAGGGCAAGCGGCGTCATGACCATGGTAGTCGGTGGGTGCTGCCCCTCTTGCAAATGTTGGAAGGTTTCGTGCGAGAGGGGATACAGTGTGTCACACGATTCGTGTATCAGCTTTTTGGGTCAGGCCAGACCCTCATGAAGGAACACCTCCGGTTGGTTACCCACAGACTCCTGGTCAATCCTAGAGTCGTCCGTCTCCCCCTCTCTGAGTCCCCGCATATTTTTCTATTTTATCGAGGAATTCGTTCACCACTAGGACAATAGCTGCGCCAACATCCATCCAGTCTATTGATGAAATGTCCTTATATTGTTCAACTGTGGCCAGGACCCGGGGACATGAGTACCAGTTTGGCCTCCTTCCAATGTTTGTTCCCTAACCTTTCCGCAGGTCTGTCATCTGTGAGTGAAAAGATCTTCATGAGGGTCCATTCTGTGAGAAATCCCAGTTTCTGTTTGACCTCGTCATTGGCAGTCAGTGGCAGTGGGGGACAGTCTTCTCCTTCCGCTGGTGGCGGTGGGGGTACGATGACATCAACATCCATGTCCTCCGTGGGAGGCTGTTGGCTCTCCGGCTGATGATGCTGGGTGTGATTTGGGGCGGAGGTGTCCATACTCTGAGGCTCCTGCCTCACCTTGGGTGAGTCTGGGAGTGCGATGGCCGGGAGAGCCAGCTGGATCGGCCCCTGCTGCACTTGCAGTTTGTCTTTCCGCCTCCTGCTGCCAAAATATGCGTAGTTGATCCTGCTACTGATACAGAACCTGTTGTTGTTGGCAACACAGTTGCCGTTGCCATTGCAGATGCAGATGTTGGAGGATTTGCTGCTGCTGCGTCAGCATATGCTGTTGTTGCTGCTGATGGTACTGTGCCAGCTGGGCTCGCAGCAGGCGGTGGAACTGCTCCATGTAGTCGGCCTTGAGCATGTATTGTTATGATTGCTGTTGTTGTTGGGCGTACAGCAACACTTGCTGTTCCTGTTGCTGTTGGGGGTGGAGCACTGTCTGCGATTGCACGTGCTCTTGCTTCCCGTGCTGCAACTGTTGCTGTCTAAGAGGTTGTTGGCCCTGCTCCATTTGCATCTGCAGCTGGCGTTGCTGTTCTGCTTGGGCTTGCAGCGCTTGCTGTTGATGTTGCTGTTGCGGACAGAAGAGTGTCTGCTGTTGCACCTGCTCTTGTTGGCCATACTGCAACTGTTGTTGTGTATGTGGCTGCTGCCCTTGATCCATTAGCATCTGCGTCTGCAGCTGGCAATGCTGTTCGGCGTGAGCTTGCTGATGGTGGAGCAGGGTTTGTTGCTGCTCGTGTTGGTGTTGTTGCTGTTGTTGCCTCTGCAGCTGTTGTTGGAAGAGCAAGGTTTGCTCTTGGTTGTTCTGCTGCTGTTGCTGCTGCCACAGCTGGTTGTGGGGCAGCCGTGGTTCTTGTCGCTGTGTTGACTGGTTCAGCTGCTCCCGAGCCTGCCATTGTTGGTGCTGTCGTTCCATCTGCAGCTGCATTTGGCATTGTTGTTGCTCCGCTTGGGTGTGTTTCAGTTCTTGGTCATGGACTGTTGATGTGCCTGCATGTTTGGCTGTCTTTTGCTTCACTCCTCTTTTGCCTTGCCGCCTATTGCCTCACTGACTTTTGATCTGCTGTCTTTCTGCCTCGCTGCCTTGTCTTTCCAAGCTGCTTGTCTGGCCCTGTGGCTGTCTCTTGCCTCCCCGCTCTTTGCCGGGCTGCTTCTTCCCTCGCTGCTCTTTGCCTTAATGCCGTTTGCTGCGCTGGCAAGTCTTTCTGTGACGCTTGCCTGGCTGTTTGGCTGCATTTCGCCTTGCCGCCTTTTGCCTTCCTGCCTTTTGCCGTCCTGCCTTTGGCCTTGCTGCCTTTTGCCTCACTGCCTTTTGCATCACTGCCTTTTGCCTCACTGCCTTTGTTGTTCTGTGCTGATCGCCTAGGTATTTGGCTGCCGATCGCCTCACCATCTTTTGGCTTGCTGCCTCTTCACTCGCTGCCTTGTCTTTCCGTGCTGGTTGCTTCGTGATTTGGCTACCTTTTGCCTTGCTGCTTTTTGTTGCTTGCCTGGTTGTTTGGATGCCCTTTGCCCTGCTGCCAAATACCTTGCTGCCCTTTGCCTCGCTGCCTTGACTGAATACATCGAGTTCCTAAGAATCCTAATCCTTTTCTTTTTGTTTTCCTTCACAAAAGAGCTCCGATCTACTCGTGGGAAGCAGCATGTGCTGGGAATTGGGCCCAGTGTCGCTTATAATAAGGTTACATGAGATTTCGATGAGAGCATCTTTGCGCTTGGGGCAATGACGCAGTCCATGAGGGCTATACCCGAGACGCGTCTATTGCTGGTTGAAAACTATATTCCAACCCCCCTCAGCTCAGGGGCCAAGGCCGCTGAGAATTTCTGAGATGACCATGAGAGTTTGATGATGATTTTGAGAAAAAGTAAAAAGAGAATACCAATGCCGTAACCCAGCTTTGGTTGAGAACTAGTTCAGAAGATTTTAAAGAAAAAAAAGTTAAGAAAACTATGGCATCTGGTAGGCTATCAACCACGACGATCTTAAGTCTGCTGTGCTAGGTGGGAGTCTGCTGTGCACCCTCCTGAAGACCTGTGGTAGCATGTTCATACCTAGCTCCCCAAGTCCCCGTGCAATCGGGCTTGCACGGCGTTTGCTTCAACCAGGGCTGGGCAAGGGGTAGGAGTCTCTGCTTAGCTTGGGTGCCTGCAACCGCTGTCTGGTCAGGTCACCCCGCCAAGATGGTGATGGGTGGTGGGTGATCGGTGATGGTTGCGCCGGGAGGGCAAAGATGAGAGGAAGGGTGGGTGGGGTCTTCAGAGGGGTTCATCTGGACTACGGAATGGGCGATTCTTGTTGGTGAGTGTTATCTGTCTAGTGTCCCACCTCTACAACAACCTGGGTTAAAACAAAACGAAAAAAAAAANAAAAAAAAAAAAAAAAAAAAAAGCACTATGGAATTCATGACCAACTTCAGTCGCTACTTCTATCCATCCCCCCCCGGATTCCAGGTGTCACTATCACCTAACCAGCTCCAAACTTAGCTGTGCAGTTTTTCACTTCTAGCCTTCTAGGCCTCTACTCACACCTCACATGCTGTTTATCTGCCCACCCACCTCCCCTGTACCCTCCAGTCTATGTGCCTTGCTGCTGCTTGTCCTCTGACACCTCATTGCCTCATCTCACGTTGCTTGTGCTGCTGTTTGTCCGCCTACAGCAGGGGTTAAAGAGTTCATGACTCAAAAAAATGCATCAATATCAGGATTTTGAAGATTGTCAAAGGTTCAGCTTTTTTTTCTTTTCTTTTCTTTCTTTCTTTCTTTCTTTCTTTCTTTCTTTCTTTTTTTTTTTTTTTTTTTTTTTTTTTTTTTTTTTTTTTTTTTTTTTTTGCGTCGAAGGTTCAGCCTACTGATGGATCAGTGCAAGTCTGATGAAACAGTCTGTCGCCATCCGGTTCTTTTCGTTCCTTTTTTTAATTTTCATTATTCATTATTCTCAGTTGTATAATTGTATTTTCGGAATTTTTTCCTGTTCTAAATTATTCTGCGCTTTGCGGCCCTTTCATGAAACTGTTGGCATCCATTTCATGGGCATACCTGGTTGTCGGCTCTTATTCCTTTTTTAAAGTTTTTTTCTTTTTTCTTTTTTTTCCTGTTATAATTGGCTCCGATCTATTAGTGGGGAGCTGCTTCAGCTGGAAACCGAGTCCAGGGTCCCAAGTACAAAAGCGAAGCAAGCTCTTATTCCACTGTCGTTTATTTGACATATTTTCTGCTGCAAATTGCCATGATTGCAGAGCCTCTATAACCCCCCCTCCAACCCCAACGTGCTTTGTGGCCTTCTCATGAAACCGTTGGCATTCCTTTCACTGGCATACCTGGTTGTGGGCTCTTATTCCAGTGCTGTTTATCTGACATATTTTCCGATGCAAATTGCCATGATTGCCACATAAGCGGTTAACACGAACACCCACTTTTCAGCCCCAGTTAACCCCCTCAACCCCGAAAAGTGCATTGGAGATCATTTCTTTCAGTTTTTGAACTTTTTTGAAGTTTTCTGTTTTTTTTAACTTTTTTTTCTTCTGCCCTGTTTTATCTTTGGTCAAGGTCTGTGTGTGCCAAGTTTGGTGTTTGTTGGGGTCTTGGAGTTGACTTTTTTTTTTTTTTAAAGCCCTTGTGTAAGCCCTCTATTCCGGCGGTGGTAAGAGAACCGCTATTCCGGCGGTGGTAAGAGAACCGAGTTGACTGTTTTGGCTAGCCCTGAAAAACCCTAAAAATCCTGAAAACTGACAAGAGTGAATTTTGCATGAAAACACACTTTTGCCTTGCTGTTTTATAGGTTTTTAATTTTTTTTTTTCAATTTGTTTTTTGTAAGTAGTTAGTATGATCTCCACTCTATGAACTGCTGGCAAGTTTGGTTAAAATGACCCTTGGGTTTTGTTATAAATGGCCTGACAAGTGGTCTGAAAATTGAGGCTTCCTTTCCTCCACCCATCCACAGACACACATGCACTCACAAGTCGAACAAAACAGTCTGGCACGGTCGTGCTCTTTTTTCTTTTCTTTTCTGTGGAGCTGTGCATAGCAAACATGACAAGGCACACACACACATACAAGCTCCAGGGAAACACAGTCGAGTGAAAGCAGGAGGAGCCACAAGACCGACGAGGAGGACTGACCTTGGCAGAACCGGGACCACAAACCAGGAATAAAAGCAACCATCTGGTACAAGGGGGCCTTCTGACACCCCGGAGCTAAAAACGTGGCCGAGCTGAGGAACCCAGTGGCCTCCAACCTATGGAGAAACGACCATGACCTCGCTACGGCCATCAAGAGAGCGGCTTGGAAGTACGTGTGACAGCCGCAGTGCAAAGGGGGACAGGTCATTCTTGACCCCAAAGAGGAATTCAAGGCACTTATTTCAAAGTCATTATCCGCATGCTCATGGCGAATGAGGCACCATGGGTCCCCTTAGCAATGCTCCAGCCGACAGATCTGCTCCCTCCCCCCCCCGCGCCCCCCCTCGAGCGTTGATGGACCAGTCCATCCAATAGCCTGGTTTACCAGCGCCCACCAGACCATCCCAAGGACATCCCACATCAATTGGAAGTTGGGAACAGACATAGCGCGGACAGGCCCAACCAGAACTCAGCGAAGAGGGACCTCTCACGGCTGAACCTCTCTGGACTGACCCGCTCCACCTCTGGAGGGAGATTGGGCCAGGGAAAGGACCCACCCCACCGACCTGGCATGAAGTCTGGAAGCAGACAGTCTTTGGTAACCCAGAGATTCTGGACGCCAACGCAAATCGCTTCTCTTTGGCTAACAACTCCCACTGGCTGGCCTGGACAGCAACGGGCATCTTCACGGTAGACGATCTGTGGGACATCGCCGGGGGTCAATGGAAGACGGAACCGTCTCTCAGCGCACAGCTCAAGCGCACCAGGAGAGTATAGGACAAACTGACTAAGTACAGGAAGCAGTTCTGCTTGCATGGGTTCTTGCACTCAAGAGAGGCCCAGAGATGAGGGAAGCGAATTGGGTGATTCCACATTCCGCCCTGCCCATCTCTGGGCCTCTCTTGAGTGCAAGAGCCCATCTCTGGGCCTCTCTTGAGTGCAAGAGCCCATCTCTGGGCCTCTCTTGAGTGCAAGAGCCCATCTCTGGGCCTCCCCATGGCGGTCTTCCAAGTTCTGGAGATCACATACGCACAGGCAACCCTGCAGGCATATGAACCAAGCCTGTCGGGCTCAAGATTCTCCAAACTCACCAGAAACAAAGACATGGACCAACAATGCAGCTGGGCTGAGCTGATAGAGATTAGAGTGGTAGGGGATGACGAAAAAGGGCACTGGGCATTCCAACCCACAACACTGATCTGCTCCCTCCCATTTGACCCTGGGCCACATGAATGGCAATGGGAAGGGAAAAAAACACTGCCAATATGGCAGTATACGGCTAAAAACTGTTACCGAGCAAACCATGCATATGTATCAGTGAACGACGTGCTGAAACGCCGCTGGCTGAAGGAATCACCATTTGAGGCCCGACAGCGCCCGGTTCCTGTCGGCAGCAAGGTCGCCAGACTCATGCTCACCTCCTTACGAACCCTTCCATGGCAAATCTGGTACTGATGCCTGCCAACGCCAACCAGACTGGCTCGTATCCAGGTCACAACTGGAACAGAAAGTGGTTCCGTCCCCAATTTGGTCCTACTTTGGTAAGTCGTCCCCACCTAGACGAGCAGACCTGGAACACTGCCTCTTGGAGTGCCCAATTGCACTCCAGATATGGAGATGGTGGGATGCAGCCTGGTGCTCCCTCACAGGAATGGACCTGCCGTGGGCCCTGGCACCACCCATGTGCAATTCTGCTAGGGTCACCACTCTCACTCTCCTCTGATTGGACCTTGTCCAAGAGGTCCTTGTTCCACACGACCAGACGGACCGTATTAATGGTCATTTGGCAAGCAAGACATTCTTTTGAACGATGCTAGCATACATTTTAAAACAGAAATCACAGAATCAATTCGTGTTAATATAAAACAGAAATCACAGAATCAATTCGTGTTAATATAAAAAAAGCTTGGAACTCACCCAGAAACACACTGACCACAATCGCAGATGAAAAACAAAGGGACAATGAGATACAGACTTTCACGGACACATGGCTGGACCCACGCCGCAAGTTGGCGTCAAT